TTCTCGTGGTTTAAATTCATATTGTATACAATGTTGAAATGTTTTTTCTTTTAATTTTGAATATGATATAACTAAACAATTACCAACAAAATGTGCTGTATAACCATGACCTTTTGATGTACAAAACCAATATAAATATGGTTTTTCTTTTTCAATAATACCATTAGCAACTGGTTCAATACGAAACCATGTTGTTATTGTAAAACCATTTTGATATGGCCAAATTTTAATTGGTGGTAAAACAATACCAGAACCATTTCGACCAGGAAAATTAAAAAATTCATCAGGTCCATGTCGATATGGAAGACTTTTAAATATATTTAATAATTTAATAGCATGTTTTTTCTAAAACAAAAAAACAAACGTAAATATAATAATAATAATTTTGTTTTTTTTGTTGTTTCATACCCATATACGATTTTCTGTTTTAAGATAATGTAAAAGAAGTTTAAGTTCATTAACATTTATTGTTAATGATGTTAATACAGTAAGAATATCAACTAATAAATCAGCAACAACATCATCATCAATTTTATTTAATAATTCTAAAACTTCTTGATAAATTTGTGCATCAATTGATGCTAATAAATTACGTTCACTTTTACGCATTATACCAATTAATACACTAAGAATTTCAGCTTGTAATAATGATGACATTTTATTAAATATAGAAAATAATTCATATAAATTTTTTGGTTTTTGTATTATATAATTTTTATCTAAATCAAAATCACCTTCGACAAGCTAAAAAAAAATAATAAAATAAAAAAAACGATAAACTAAAGAAAAAATTGATAATTTTACTGTATTTAATATTGTTAAAGATGCTTCTTTATTTGATTTATCAGCTATTGTTTGTAATAATTGATGAGTATCATCATCATCTTGACTTGAAGATTCTGATTGAATAGTATCACCAGCTGTATTATTATTATTGTCTTGTTCAGATCCAGGTAATACTAATGAATTTTCTTCAGATAATGGTAATGCTGATGAATTTTCTTCTGATATAGTTGCTGCTGTTGAATCATTTTCGTTTTCATTGATAATATCAGTAGATGGAATTTCTAATGGTAATTCATTATTATTTGATGTTAATAATGATGGTTGAATTTGTTGTTCATTTTCTTCTGATAATTCATTATTATCTTGATTAATTTCATCATTGGAATGAATATTCGTATTATCTTTGATTTCGATGCTCATTGCAAAATCTAAAATAAATTGTAAGTCAATAAGTATCTTTATGTATTTATAGGTGATTGAGTATTGATAAAGAAGTCATCAATTTGATTTTGATATAATAGAGCTATACTTGTTAGTTTTTTTTTTCCTCTTCTATGTTCTTAATTTCTATTGATGCATTCTTTTTTTTTCTTTTTCGTTCGTTTTCTCTTTTCTATAAGTATAAACATACACAGCCTGTCGATTACTCAGTACACTATAGTGTATACTCCGAAGGGACACGTCGCGTCGTAGAAACATAAAATTATTGATTGATTAATTTTTATCTACCAATTAGATTTATATGTAAACCTCTCTAAAACAAACGTTATTGATAATGAACGACATCTTTCGACAGATATCAAGATGTAAAAAGAAGTTTTTATAAAAACTGAAAGATTATCATATTAAATTTCATTTTTTTTCATTGTCATCATCATTTAATTGCATATGAAGTTATATTTAGTTATGAAAAATCATGAAGTACTTTTTGAAAAAACTTAATTTTGGATATTGATATGACTAGTCGAATCGTAATTGTTTCACAACATATAACTGATGCAAATTAGAAAAACAAAAAAAGATGTATATTGTAAATTTATGTACTGTTGAGAATATTTGATAGACATGTCCTGTTCGATATCGACGACACAGGAAAAATTTTGATAAGTACTAGTTAATGCACTTCGAAAATCACGTTCTGCTCGTACAGATTCTAGATGATAAATATATGCTTTGATATCTGTCTGATGGTGTTGTTGAATTGTTAACTGAGATAACTTTATTGAAAATAATATAACTAGATTATTAGGATGGAGTGTCGGTATAGGTTTTAGTCTTTATTTAATTCATACCGACACTCTCGAAAGAATAAGAAAATCGTATGTAACACAAAGAACATCGAATTTTTCATATAGTCACATACGAGCAATTAATACATGTATATGCTTTGGAATAAATTGCGGTGCCCAGAGGCTAATCATATAACACATCTTTGACTATGTATTATCTAGTACATGTAGTATAAATATGAAATGTAACTGTCGATATTTAAAGAAAAATGATCGAAATTAAATTATTTTTCTCGTTACATTTAGACAGTTCATAGTTACAAAACAACTTTATATACTTTAACGACATTTAGGGTATGGATCTTGGTTTCGTGTAAAGATCCACACATACATATATCTATACTTGCACCCTCTATCACTCTTTAGTGTGTAGGTTAATATTTGGATGGTCATTTTATAGATATCTGCGCCTACATGTACGCCATAGTCTATACTACGAAAAAACGATTTCAAGACAGTGAAACTAATGTATATTTACCTTTGAATGCATTGCATGTAGAACAGCAGCATACTATATTGAATAATTAATATGAATATATTGATATCCTCTCAGCTGAATTTAATATATTATGAATAAATGAATAAAAATGTATTACTTATTATATTCTATATAATGTAGACGACTTTATTAAAACATAATCGATCCGAGAAAAAAATGAAGAAACCAATTTTTATTTTAGTTACTGCAATGTTACTATCGTTATTCAATGAACTTTTGTATGTTCAAGGAGTTAATCAGACTGATAGGTAATACTTAACTAATTCACTATGATTTCAATATAAAATCATGTTAACTAGGACAAATATTGGACAGCACTGCACACCACATTATAATTATGTGCTCGTTCCTGACGGTATAAACTTCGGTGATTTAACATATAACTGTAACGATAATCGAAGAAATGTAGTGCAGGATCAATGTATTCTGCCATTTCCGGATGCCATCGCTCAATGTGATCAGGACAAAAACTGCGGCGGGTTTTCAGTAACTACGAATGAACGATGGCACGGATTTGCTGATAGGGATGGTCTTATAGCTGTTCAACTCTATGCAACAGGAGCTCAATCGTTTACCAATAACGAGTGGAAGTCTTACCGGAAGCAAGGATACTACTGAAATAAGAAAACAGACTAAATCAAATTAATTATATAATCTCGGTCTTATCGTATTTAAGTAGAAAACCCTTTGCGTAAGGATTAAATAATACGGAGATAGTGATTATCATCAGTTGTTCAGCTACGATTTAAAAGTTTTTCAAAGAAAGCTTACATAAAAATGCACCGGAAGTCGGTCACTTTTCGTAATATTCTAACCATGATTTATCCACACCCAAATGTTGTAGTCAATACATCTACATAGGTTTAGTTCATTATGGATCGACATTCTAAGTTTCAATGGGAAAATGAACGAACATGTTTTAGGATCAATTTATCCCGAAAAAGATGGAATTTTGTGATGCAAATGTTTGAAAGCCTAAACTCGATTCTTTACATCCTAAGGAAGTTTTTGAAGAGCTCACTGTAAATTTCCATTTGAGGGTAAGAGAGTAGGTATTGATATAAGTAAATCGATTGATATTTCGATGAAGAGTGTATCTAAGCTTACATTCATCTATCCATCCCATCTATCTTCTTTTCAATGTCTCTCTTAGTGTCACTCCTAGCTTTGCCGCAGATATCTTCAGAATGTGGTTGTGAATGTGTTGGCGTCGATATGAAGGTGTGAGTATATATCTTCTCGAACTACACGAACCCCATCCCCATCCTCACACTCGCACAAATCATACACAGTAAACTAAAAGTGATTAGGTATTAGAAACTGATCAAATAATGGAAATGTTTGTTTTTGTTCTTGTTCTTTAAATAAATAATTGAAAAATTCCAATGAATTTTATGGCACTTGTATCTCTGTGACTATTACAGGCAGATTTGAAATGTCAAATTCTAGCCTAGAATTTCAGCTAGACATCTCATATCTATGGTGTAAATATTAGTCCATTTTACTGAAAAAAACATATTAGAAAAGAATAGAACTTAAAATAAGATCAAAACTTATTAGACAGTCAATATATATCTCGTATTTCATTCCCATACTTATGTTCAGATCTTATTCCGTGAAATTTATTATCAAAAATAAAAGTTAAATATCGCTATTGCTATTAACAGCAATATTTTCGTTGAATATTCAACAAAATGGAAAGAGAAAACACTGTCTTGGTTCGAATTTCTCTTAAAATAAGTTAATGTAAAGTTTAAAACAAAAATATAACAGACAACAAGATGAAGAAATCATTAAAAGATTAAACTTTACATGACGTAAAATAATAGGTTGATAGTTCCCGATGTCCTAAAGATTAAAGAAAAATCAACATCAACATATTTCAAAATAAAACTTACAATAAGAAAAAGAGCACCAAGTACAAGAATTTTCATTTTAGTATCCAAATTCAATGGAACTAACAAGAGAAATATAAAAAATAAATTCCATGGCAACAATCTCTTGTTTTTTGAATCGATCAACAGAAGAAATTATTTTTTTACTTGCAATTGACTGTAAAAACAACAGGATTCGCTGACGAGACTTTCTTACTCTCAAGATATTAATTCATTCAAAATCGCTTTTTAACAATTCGAATAAGAATTCCTAATAAGAAAGATCTTAAGCATAATTAATGTTCATCTTTTCAAACAATGATTATCTATCGAATTTTTTTTAGCAGAAATATTTTAAATGAAATGTCACTTACTATATATTTATTTTCACATCCACAAGAATAAGCTCCATTACAAATGCAACAGGGACCCATTATAGTTAACATAGGTGTATTATTTACATCTTTAATAATATAATTCATACCACTAGCACTACCTCTAAACGAGAGCACGATCGATAATAGAACAATGATTGTCTAAGTAATAATGCTATTAGTACTCTTGTTGAACAGTGCCAATAATTTGTCCAGGTGGACATTCAACAGTAACTTGTTGCATACAACTTTCACAACTACCAAAACAACTACATCCTGAACAACATTGTAATTCACGATGAACTCTAATAAGTTCCTAATAGTAAAACAAAATATATCTTTAAATATAAAAACAAAAGAAACAATGATCTGTAATTTCTACTTACTCGACAATAATTGTCAAGAATATGCATAGTAAATGCTCGTCCATATGTATAACAAATAGCTTCAAATGATTTTGATTCTTGTTTAACATAAAATGAATAGATATTATCCAATATTTAACTTATTTAATGTACCTTCAAATACAGAAAATAGATGTCCATCTCGATTGTAAAATATCCCATATTTTGCTCGCAATGGAAAGTTAGTTAATACTAAAAAAAACACAGAACATTTTCTAAGATATATATATATGTAATAGAAAACATAAAACAAATTCATTCATATTTCTGCTTGTAATCTTTCTTAAAAGAAAATCCATAATTGATCGATAATGAGTCAACGGATTTGAACTGTTCAATAGAATCAATATGAACAATTGGTATTGATGTCCATGATATTGGTTGTTGCATTACTCGTGACATTATTTTCTTTCTTATGAAATTATCTTAAATAGAAATCAGATCATTATGTTTAATGATAAATTTATTCTTTTAGTATTTTGCTTCATATTAAAAGAAATATTTAACTCATTAAACCAAATAAAATAAGAAATATAATTGTTATAATATTAAAAGCGACTAATGGAATAAAAAAATAGAAATAAATTTAATAAAAAAAACAAAATCAATTTAAATTCTCATCGCGGTTCGAACAGACCGGACTAAATGAAGTCATTGTTGTTTAACTTCACCAGTATTTTGATATTCATCAACATAACCAACACCGGAATTATGTTGTCTAGATATTAAAAACAAAAAGACGAACCTTATTTTTATACAAATTTCATTTACATTTTGAAAGAAACCTGTTCATTAAGTATGGCAATTGTATTAACACAAAGAAATGCAGCTTCAATAAGACTATATAATGAAAATACCATATTTATTCATCGAAAAAGAAAGATAATTAACTAGATGCTTTGCCTTTTTTTTTGTTAATAGAATGTAAATGAAATAGAGTAAAGAAAAGAAAAGGAAAGTTTTTATCTTCTAACTTTAAAAAGACCAAAGATGACTAACAAAAAAAAATAGTTAATTGAGTTAATTGTTCAAGTCGATGGTACATTCTGGTGATGGTTCCACATCGGCTAACCATTGTTCAATTTCTTTTGATCTGTTTAAACTTAAATCAATATGTCCAAATGATTCTTGTAAGAATCGAGAAATAGAAAATGATGATGATGATGATGTTGTACTCTTATCTTCATCATCCTTGTCTTCAGAATTGTTTCTTATAATTTTTAATGTTTCCATCAATTGATCATGTTCTTCCATCAAGATGTTGAAGAGAGTATCCCGGATATAAGAAAGTTCATCATTATCAATGTACTCCGGTATGAGTTTTGACCAGTTTTCGTTTAAAGAAACAATAAGCGGCTTTAAAATGATATAAGACTTTTCTGAAGAACGAAAATAACTTGGAGCTTGTGATAATGTAAGCCGCACACTTCTTCTCCCATCATTTAGAGAAGCTGGATGAATTGGTAAAAAGTATTTTAATAAATCTTCTCTTGATAATTCGGGTAAAACTTCTTCAGATCTAGGATCACGATAGTGAAATCTAGTAATGAGTAACACATTGACTGATGTTGATGATTTTCTAATGACAAGACATGGACGTTGGTTAGCTTTTTTCGATGATGATGATTTTGAAGATGTTGAAGATGTTGAAGATGATTCAACTGTTGATGATTGATCATCATGGACACCAAATTGTGCACTTAAACTATATCTGAGCTTGTATATTCTTCCAACAATTGGTGGAATTTCTTGAGTTTCTACAATTACTATTGAAAATACAGTGATAGAAAAAGAAAATTTTTTCCTGTTTACCATTTGTTTGTTCATTTTCTTTTGGATTTTCAGCTAAACAAAAAGTTAGTTGGTGAAAAGAGAGAGTTAATTGTTGATATACCTCGTGTTTCAGATTTTTTAATGGGTTTAGCACCACAGACTACTTGAGCATATGTACGACTTGTAGTTGTTGATGATTTTGCTTCACTTTCATAAGTATTTGTATCTTCAAATGTTGTTGAAAAATTAATTGAACCAATTTTTTGTGAAAGTTGTTCATCAGATGATATTTGATTAGAATCAAATGAAAAATTTTCATCATTATTAGCATCATCTTTGATTTTAGATGCATTATTTGTTGTTGTAATGGAATTGTCATTTGAACTCATTTTTTTTAATGAATTATTGAAAAAGAGCCTGAAAAAAAAATGATAAAAATAACTAGGAATTAGTGATTAATAGAAAAAATAAATAAAAGAAATTTAATAATAATAATAATCGAAAAGAAAAATTTAATCATTCAGGGTGGGTGTGGGTGTTGATGAATAGAAGACCCGCAGTGGATACCTACACCCACACCCACACCCTAGAAGCATAATATGAAAGGTATATAATATAATATTTGTTGGATGATATATTTACACTTAGAATTAGACAAGTGCCAGATTTATGATTAATTAATCTGTTTTTTTTGTAAATCTATTAATCAAAGAACAGATGCTTATGTTGTTGGAGTATCATACGCTGCAAAAATAATGGCGCAAAATGTTGATTTCTTTTTCTTCTGAATAGAAGAATACTGAAAGAAAAGGTTCTTTTTTACCAAAAGACAGAACTTTTCCTCCTCTTTCAAATCGTATATAAGTTATTTTCATAAAACGATTGTAAACAGAACGACACAATAAAAAAAAGAAACAACCTAAAAAAATTCGTGCTTTTTCTATAAAAGTATAACATAAAATGTCGATCGTTATATGTTTCATACATACATTCTAGAAACAAAATTTTGTTATCAGCTGATAGGGAATTTTCTCCTCTTTCGAACGATGTATAATTTATATTTGTCATACATTCGCTAGTGAACTGGAATGAAGAAGAAAGCGAAACAATCGCGCAATAAATTAACAATGCTTATATCAATTCGTCAAAAACATTTAGTAGACGACAGTTAAGTACAATTAACTATCATCTAACAACCTGTTTTTAACGAGTTCATAAAAGCCGAAGTAAGCACTCTTTTAGAAGAACTTTTTAATGAGTACACAAAACTCGAATTAATTATTGTCTAACAACATGTTTTTGACGAATTTATATAAAAATTGCAAATTTATTGAACAACTGTTTCTCTTTCTTCTTCATCTCATTTCATATACGAATATGTGACAAATATAAATCATACACCGTTCGAAAGAGGAGAAAATTTTCTTTTTAAGACATGTTTATTGAAGGATTATTCCAGATATACAGGAATCAATATTTTGTGCTGTTTTTCGAAATTCCAAGAAAAACAACGGATTTTTTTTTGAGGATGTCTTTCTTTTTTATTGCATCGTTCCGTTTACAAATGCTTTATGAAAATGACTTATACACGATTTGAAGAGGAGAAAAAGCTCTACTTTTTCTTTAAAAAAGGTTTTCTTTCAGCAGTCTTCTATCCACGAGAAAAAAGGATCTACATTTTCTGCCATTAATTTTGCATCGTATGATACTTGGCAAAAGAAACGAGGTATGTTCAGATTTCAGAAAAAAGAAATTTCCAAAAATAACAAAATTTCTATGATATCATTTCAAGACCCTCATGGGCAAAAACAGAAACTTTCTAGAAATTTTCGTAATCACCAATAGAATGATAGACGAAATTCAGCGAAATTTCCGAATTTCAAAACACCTGCGAATAAATATATCTAGAAATTTCGGAAATTACCCTCACTTCAGGAAGAAATTTCCCGAAAACTTCGGTTATTACTCATAGTATAGAAGGAAATAAACAGATAATTTCGGTGAATACCAACTGCAGATAAGGAAATTTGGGTGTGGATGTATGTCATTTCCCTCTCTATCGACACTCTCTTTTACGAATCGATAGAAGACAACTCAAAGTATCTACAGCGATAAAAGTCTAAAACTGAAAAAATTTGGATCTTCTCGTTATGACAGGAGGTGATGTCTTCTTAACTAATTCTAAACATCCTACCTGACACTATCGTTTCATTATCTGAAGCAGAGAAATAAGTGATAAAATCTAAACATAAGATCTAAAGCTTTTACATTCAAAAACATTTTATTTATTCCAAAAACAGAAAATTATCTTTAGAACAGTGCAATCAGTCAGCTATATATAAATGAAGCCAATGGTGGCAAGAAAGTTCTACATTATAGTGAATGGAGATACAATAATTCACAGAACATTCCGAGATAATCGATGCAAATTGACACTTTCCTCTGTCGCTATAGCGATTGTATCGTCGTTGAATTGAACAGCATCACAAAAGGACGAATTGTAATAGTATTTATTGAGGAAGCTTCCACTTTTAGATATATGAAGAAGTTCTGAATCATTTGGATCAATTATCATCCATTCATCATTGGTCAACAAACAGCATGACATTGGGTAATCTCCAGAAGTTAAATCAAGCTTCAGTGACCAGTATCGCTCAAGTGTTATTAGTGAGCATAGATCGAGACGCATACCATCGTTATCATTATTGATAATCAGAGCCAATGCAGCATGATTCGATGCGAGATCCTCAATCGACTCATGTTCGGCGCAAGAAAGAGGTGATACGTGTTCTAGAACAAAATGAATGGGCAGTTGAATATCATACTCGAAGATAGAGGAACCTTTATCGAACGTCAATAGAAATAATTTATGATTTGAACACGTTCCACATGACCAAGTGTTAATATGCCTGTGTTGGTCAAGTGTAAGTGGTTCGAAAGTCATTGTGTTTGGCTCGAGAGTGAAGACCTCTGTTGAAGTGATGAGAATGAATCGAGCGAGAGCATTCGACCAAATAATATCATGAATATCGTCTTGAGTCCACATGATCTCTTTCTCAACGATCAATTCTTCATCGAATAACTGAAGATTTTTGTCTTGTATAACCAAAAGCTTATTGTCATTGGCGGCTATAGCAACGGATGTGTCGCTTCCTGCCGACATTTTATATGGAGGCGGTAGTGGAAAACCATCTTCTGTTTGCAATATTTTATTTCGAGTGTTGACAAGATTATCATCGATGACAAGAGGCGAAAGGGTGAATAGTTGACTTTCAGGTAAGTTGATTAGCTTTTCGACAGCTCGAAGAGATTTTTGGATTGAATTGATATGTTCATGCGTCACGTCTTGTTCGCGAATCAGTTCACTGATTTGATCTCGCAATAGGTTGAGTTCTTTTTTCTGAATTGTTCTTGATTTGTTAAGTAATTCGTTGAATTCTTGTTTTTTTCTTTCATAGAAATGATCGATCAGTCGATGGGCTTGTTGACGCCACTGTTCAAGTTCTTCGAAAATAATGGGTTCAACTAACATGGCATTGTTGAATTGTTCAGACAGAGTATTGATTTCATCAGAAAGTGGCGTGAGTTGGGTCAGAAGTGAGTCATAGTGTTCATTCAGATGGACAATACAGAGATTTTGTTGGCAACAATGA